ATTTGACCTGATGGCCATACAAAGGAGTATCCTTCTTCCATGCATCGTTTCCCAAGAGACATCACGGACGGAGTGTCGTCCAGTACGTAGGCATGAGAGGTCACATCAAAGGTTCCCAGGTCAATCTCTGCTTCTGTTTGAGTAGCAGTTGAACCATTGGCGGTGTGGAACATGATAGGATCACAAGTTCGTTGCTTCAAATTCATCCTTTCGGCTTTCCTTGCAGAAATCAGATCGTGTCCGCTGCCAGAATCCAGGATGAATCTACGATCTTTGGCTTGCACTGGTAGTGAAATGCACATTATGTTCTTGGACTTCATGAGGGAGTTTCCAACTTCGTGTTCAACAAGCTCTTCAATAAAAGTCAAGTCATCACGATCATTGTCCAGCTTGATCAACATGTCGAACTTGGGACCAATAATGATTCTAACTTCATCAACAAAACGATGGAGTCCACATCTGTCCATGATGATAGCTTTGGCCCGTGCTCGGACTGAACCGAGGGTGTTGTCGGACTTGGACTGATCGTCGGTCAAATCATCGACTTTCCAGAAGACATATTGCTTGTTAGGGTCACGATACATACGTTTGGGTAATCCCTCCTGGTAGTCCTCAATGGCAATCTCGTGCACTTCAGGTTCCAGATCAAAAGAGATCCTGCGATCATCAGAAGACTTCTTTGCGCTGGCTATCCTCGGTGAGGTATAATCCATAGAATCTTCATTGTCGCTATCAAAGAAGGAATCAATGGTAATGGGAGTTGCTTTCTTCTTTGGTGTCTTCTTGCTGGTTCTTTCTGAAGACGCTGAGGGCGATTGATCTGCATGTAGGAATTTACATTTGCTTCCGAACGTGCAGGTACCCTTTTGCCAATTCCAACATACCTTCTTTTTGGGTCCAGCTGAAGATGAACTTCCTCTACCTTTCCCTCTTGATGAATCTCGACTTCCGCTTCTGCCTTTCTTACCCTTCATCTTGGCATCATAGACCTTTTGAGAATGACTGTAAAGACATTTGTCACCTTTGTTGCATCCTCCTTTATTGAAGAAGTAGTTACAGAAAATCTTCTTCTTGTCAACGGGTGAAGATGATCTTCCCTTCCCACCTTTGCCTTTCTTGTTGTTCTTGTCGGCATGAGATTTCGGAGAAGGTGTTGGAAGTACTGATGCAGCTTCACTCTTCGCTTTCGCCTTAGGCCGTTTGGGAGGATCACCTGTAGACGATGCAGCTGCTTCATTCTCCTTCTTGGTCTTGACGGGAGCAGCAGGTTTGTCAGCATCTTCCAGGGCAGGTGTCGTCTTGGTAGAGGACAATGACAGTTTCACTGCACGTTCTCTATCCTTCAACAGTCGTTCTTGCTTTCCTCTTGCTATGTATCCTTTGATCATACCAGTTAGGTAAACATAGGTCTTTTCCGGATGCCCTTCATCAAAGGTTTTGTATCGGTTGATATCAAAGGCCATAAGCTTTGAATGTTCAATCTTCCGGAACAATGTGTCACGCAGGGAATTGTCGGAAGGCAGATCATCATGTTTCATATTGTATACGATGTCAAGCCACTTGTTGTAAAAGGCCTCAAGTTGGTCATCTCCATAGTAGTTGAACATATACAAATGATGGGCATTGTAGAGAACTTCAGTGTGGTCAGGTGACTTGAAGCTAATCAGTATCATTGCGAATAGTTCTCGTCCCTTGATGAAGTCCCCACTTCTCCCATACAATTGGTTCTTCATGGACATGTCATACTTCACTTGCATGGACTTGTCCCCAGCATTGTCAATGACTTTCCTCAAGGCATTGGAGAGCTTGGCATCAATGGATTGGAATCTCACATCGGGTGCTTTGGCCAGAGTTTCCAAGTCAGGTTGATCTGCAAGACACGGAGCTAGCCATGCTTTCCAATCTTCATAGTTTCGATCTCCACTTGCAACACAAACTTCATGAACGACACTTCCCTTCCAGGATGAAAGTTCAGTGGTCTTAGGCCAGGGTTGGAGGCTGATCTTTTCGGCTTCTCTTAGAGATACGGATGACTTGGATCTATCCCTTTCAAGGTTCTCCAACTCCTTGACATTGGTGTTGTACTCGTTCCTGAGCTTTTCGAAGGCTTCAGCTTCTGCTCGGTATTCCTGCTCTTCATCATTGGCGCGATCTTCAGCTTGAGAGAAATTGTTCTTGTAATAATCTTTCCGATCTTCCATCTTCTTCAACTCATCTTGAAGATTTCGAACTTCATTGTTCTTCTCTTGCTTCATCTCGTCCAACTCTGCTTTCAGTTTGGCACACTTCTCTTCACATTCATTCCGAGGCATAGCATTACTGGGGTACCCATGTAATGTAGTCGGTCTATTCTTTGATGAAGAAGAATGAGCTTGATTTTCCAACTTCAGGGCAGCAATAGTGCTCGACATCTCTTCTACCTCAGCGAAACGCTCATTGGCCAATTGATGCATCTCAGTCAAGTGGCTTTCAGGAATGGAGTAGTCAGTCGCACCTTTGATCACGAGTCTTCTGTCGTTCAACATCTTGATGGACTTACCTGCATCCCTGTGAGCACGCTCAAGAGAGTCCTTTTGGGCTTCAAGTTCAGTATGAAGGCGAGCAATAGCTGTGTCCCTGTCATTGATTTCATTGTGCAAACTGTCGAACAAGTTACTCGTCACATTCGGATTGTTGCTCATGTGATCGATCTTGTTCAGAGCATCTTGATATTTCTTACCAGTTTCATCAAAGTTTCGCTGGAAGACTTTGAGCAGGTCCTCAGTGTCAATGAGTTCAGTTCTGTTTTGCAAGTACAACTTGTCAACTTCAGCCTTGGATTCCTTCAAGCTGTCACGCTCACGCACGGCTTGCATATACATCTCGTATAGAGGTCCTCCATGCGGTGATCTGCTTGGTGAAGATCTTCTGGCTTGTTGACAGGAAAGTTCATGATACTGATTCTTCGATTCAGTCAGTTGTTGTTGCATTCGATCTAAAAGACTTTGTTTCATGTGTAGTTCAGAACGTAGTCCCATTATCCTCATGTCCCGCATGCCGCCTGATTCAGCTAGAGATTCTTCAGAAACCCTGTTCTCAGAAATCGCTAGTCGAGATTGTAGGTTCTCATTTTGAATCATCTGCAATCGAAGTTGTGATTCTTCCAAAGCTAAATGATGTTCACATTCTGCATAACGGTCATGTTCAGATCTTATGTTACTACGGAACTCCTTCATGATCTCGTCCCTCTTCGTGTCAGCAGCATCGAGCTCAGTTTCCAGTCGTCTAACGTTCATGGCCATGGTGTGCTTCATTGTCTGGTTTTGATTGGCAACCTCGAGCATCTCGATCTGTAAAGCACATGTCTGGTCATTAGCGTAGCCGACCGCTAGAGCTTCTTGCTTGGCATTCATCTCTGCGTTTTCCAGTTCCAGTCTGAGTTGATTGATGTGAGCATTCGCATCAGCGCCCACATGTACCATGATTGCGCTCGCTTGTCCCATTTGTTCATCGAATTCCGAACGTAGTCGTGAATATTTGAATTCCAAATGAGATGCAGCTTCATTCGACATAGTCTGATACCTTTCCAACTCTTCGATCCTGTAGGTCGCACCTTCATCTTCTTGTTGTGCAGCCTGTAACTCGAAGTTCAGCATCTGGAGTTGTTCGGTCATCGACATCATCTCTTGATGAGTGGTGCTTTCTAGGAAATTAAATTGTTGATAGGCATATGCTGTCGTCTCACTCAATCTTGCCTGAAGTACGGATTCTTCTTCAGTGGCCCTTTCCAGTGATGTTTTGTACTCAGCTAATTCACTCTGATAGGCAGTGAAGATGTCGCTACCACTTGACGGGGCGTTCACTTGCTGATAAGATCCTGTCCCTGATGGTGTAGCGTCCTGAATCGGTGAAGGCGGATTCGACGACGTGGTCTTTGCCTTAGTCCTTGGAGTCATCGGAGGCGACAATTGTCGTGCAGATGATCTTCTCTTTCCAGGTGTGCTGTCCCTATCTTCAATTGCTTGCATTGTCGAAATTTGTCTCCCTCTAGGAGCAACCAGAGATCGCCTGGGTTGGCTCGTTCTCAGTTCTGAGGCATCGCTTCCACCAGTGTCGATACTCTGTGAAGAATTTGACTGCGTGCCGGCAGCTGGTGCAACGGCATGTCCAGAGAAAGAAAATGCATTATCGCTGCTATCCTGTTCAGTCATCTGTAAGGCCCGCGGCTACCCGCTCGTAGGCTCCGTAGGAGTCCTACGGCTGATAACCTGCGAATCGGGGATTGCCTGTCCGATTATGTCCTGGTAGTGAGTGTTGAAGTGATTGCTCCAGTGATGACGTTACACGGGCATCAGCTTCCGCATTGCTGTTCTTTACTCCGTTGCTGCAGTGGGTCTTGAGCCAAAGAGGCCAGTTTGAAGTGCCCCTTTGGTACTGGATCCTAGAGTGTCTAATTGTGATAATATACAATGGTCCGTAGCCCACACTCTATTCGCAATGTATGTATGTATGTATGTATGTATGTATGTATGGATGGATGGATGGATGGATGGATGGATGGATGTCTGTCTGTCTGTCTGTCTGTCTGTATGTATGTATGTATGTATGTATGTATGTATGTGTATATATATATATATGTATGTATGTATACATGTAAAAAAATATTGACATGATATATACACAATTATACACACTTAAATATATATATATATATATATAATGTATACTCAAAACATAGAGATTGACAGATGCTTCGCTCAATATGTGTGTTGCTCCTCTCTTTGGGGATCCAATATGGATATAGAACATATAGATAGATGGTGTCATGATGATGATTGATGCAGGGGGAGAGTATGGACACTCAGAGATTGTCAACACAACCCCACACATACCATATTTTTTGATCTTCAGTGGAACTAGCTGACTACTTTTCCTTGAAAATCATGCGAATCCTGCATGATTGATATAGACATTCTCAATCATTCTCAATGTTCAAAACATCGCAACCTTGGCCCAGTTACAGAGCAAATCAGGCCCAAGATCAAAAATGATCCAGAGATACGACAGCGGGTCTTGTGAAGCACACGCTGACCTGGGATCAGATCGAATTTTCACACCGGGTGAACCCCAATAGCTTACGTTGCCATTCGCATGGTGGTAGTGGACACAGAAGCAACAATGGTCCCTTTTGACTTCCAGGAGCTGCTCAGGAGTTATAATAGTGGCCTTGTGACTTGCCAAAACATACTATTCCTATGATCCAGCAAAATCCAATCATGCTCTCAAACACCAAACTTGAAACGGTTCAGCACGAGTTGCCATTGGATAGGTGGTGCCTCATCAGTGCCATGCGCGTCTTACTTCTGGTCATGATGGATCTGACGTGAGCGACTTGCTCTGAATCCTTGGACGCAAAGAGTTTCGCCAGTTTTGTCGCCAAGGGAACCAATCAGTTTCAATCCATAACTTGAGGCCTGCGGGCAGGTACGAAAGCTAGCAGGGCTGTTGTAGGGTTGCAATGTCTGTTGGGTCCAGCAGCGAGAAACCCCAGTGCAGCAATCGTCTCTCTCCAGTTTTTCTGAGCAGAAGAAGGACCAGATCAAAAAAAACACCCCCCAAATGGAAGCCCAAATCTGCATTAGGCATACTCAACATGTTCAAGGGAACACCATGTATGCATGCATGTATGTATGGATGTATAGATGTATAGGTGTATAACTGTAAAGATGTATAGAATTAATTAGAATTATAGATCTATAGATGTATATGAATGGATGGATGCATGCATGCATATATGAATGCAGATGTGAATGTGTATGTATGTATGTATGTATGTATGTATGTATGTATGTATGTATGTATGTATGTATGTATGCATGCACGTACGTATGCATGCATGCATGCATGCATGGATGGATGGATGGATAGATGCATGGCTGGATGGATAGATGCATGCATGGATGCATGCATGCATGTGTGCATGGGTGCATGCATGTATGTATGGATGTATCGATGTAAAGATGTAAAGATGTATAGATGTATAGATGCATAGATGTATAGATGTATAGATGTAAAGATGCATAGATGTAAAGATGTATAGATGTATAGATGCATAGATGTATAGATGTAAAGATGCATAGATGTATAGATGTATAGATGTAAAGATGTATAGATGCGTAGATGTATAGATGTATGGATGGATGGATGGATGGATGCATGCATGCATGTATGCATTTATGTATGTATGCACGTACGTATGCATGCATGCATGGATGCATGCATGCATGCATGGATGCATGGATGCATGTAAGCATGGGTGCATGCATGTATGTATGGATGCATCGATGTATAGATGTATAGATGTATAGATGTAAAGATGTATAGATGTATAGATGTATAGACCTATAGATGTATAGATGTAAAGCTGTATAGATATGTATAGATGTATAGATGCATAGATGTATAGATGTAAAGATGTATAGATGTATAGCTGCATAGGTGCAGATGTATAGATGGATGGATGGATGCATGCATGTATGACTGCATATATGTATGTATGCACGTACGTATGCATGCATGCATGCATGGATGTATCGATGCATGGGTGTATGGGTGTAATTAATGGTGTTTGGATGTATGGATGCATGGATGTACGGATGTACGTATGTAGGCCTGCAGGCCTGTAGGCCTGTAGGCATGTAGGCATGTATGTAGGCATGTAGGCATGTATGTATGCATGAATGTCTGCATGTATGTATGTCTGCATGTCTGCATGTCTGTATGCCTGTATGTATGTGTGTCTGTATGTTTGTATGTCTGTATGGATGGATGCATGCATGGATGCATGGATGCATGTATGCATGGATGCATGGATAAATGGCTGCATGGCTGCATGGATGTACGGATGTCGGATGTATGGATTTCTGGATTTCTGGATGGATGCATGGATGCATGGATGCATGGATGCATGGATGCATGTATGTATGTATGTACGTATATGAGGATGAGGATGAGGATGAGGATGAGGGTGAGGATGAGGGTGAGGGTGAGGATGAGGATGAGGATGATGAGGATGGTGAGGATGATGAGGATGATGAGGATGATGCGGATGATGCGGATGATGCGGATGATGAGGATGAGGATCAGGATCAGGATGAGGATGATGATGATGATGATGATGATGACGATGACGATGATGATGATTATTATTATTATGATGATGATGATGGTGCTGACAATGGTGGTGAGGACGATGACGATGACGATGATGATGATGATGATGATGATGATGAGGAGGAGGAGGAGGACCACGACGACGACGACGACGACGACGAGGAGGACGAGGAGGCATTGATGATAGATGACGACCCTGTAGGCAGCCCATGTCCAGGGGGACATGGGGGATTGAACCCGGGCCTACCATATTCCTTGCTCCACCTAGCACAAGCTAGCTTTCGTGACCAGGTATAACCAGAAAATGAGAACCATGGTATACAATGGTTATCATTGGTTGTATGACCAAATATTATCTATTCCCAATTTCACGGCAATCGGGGGTTGAGAAATGTGTGGAACCCCAGATCGTCCAAGCTTCCATGTGTACCACGGATGAATCGTCTGAGAAGTCCGAAGCCCCCTCCTGCCGGCTGAAGCAAAATAGGATTGATGCAAAGAGATGTGGTTCTAAGATCCACCCAAACTGTTGAAGTCAAGAAAAACAAACATCTCTCGGGTTCTGGATGGACGACCTTCCTTGGAGTAGTTGAAATGGACAGGAGCATGTCAGTTTGACAGCTTGCTGCCACTGGGGAGACTTAGATTCAGAACGGTGGCATGAGTCACAGCTCACCGTAAACAGGGTAGCCCATGATTTTCGCAGACGAAAGTCCGCTTGAGACAATGTTGCCATGTTGCAAGTGCTCCAAAGGTACCCTCAGTTATGTCATGTAAATAGAACCTCCACGTGAAATTTGCCAAGGAGTATGTGGTGAGACTGAGCATGTTTTTTGGATGATGCAACAGCGCTGTGGTCTCCAAAATGCATGGGTTTTAAGTGGCTTCATTGCGGTTTCATCCAAGTTCATCATGAGGTGCCGCCTGGTTCTGCGAATAATTCCGCCCGCACCGAAGGTGCTGGGGCGTGATCTTCCGGATGGCACTCGTAAAAGGTTACAGGTTTACCTGGGGGGGGGGCAATTTTCGGCCAAAACCTCCTGTTTTTGATAGGTTGTGACGCTCGCCTTCAAAAAACACTGTAAAAAACAGTACGGAAGACACCTGTTCGTGAACGCGCCCGTCCAAAATCGGCAAGCGAAAAGTGAAAAAAACCCGTGTTTTTCAACTTTTTGACCTCAACTTTTTGGTTTGCAACATCTTTTTTTGCGGTTCCGCAGGTGGCCGGGCCCGGAGGCGGATTTTTGAGTTTTTGGGCCCGTTTTCGGACTGATTTTCGTCGTTTTGTGATAGCAGAAACACTGGTTTTTACAGTGTTTTTCTGTTTTCTGCATGCTTGACGGCTAGCTTCAAAACTTCCAAAAACCTCGTAAATTACGCTGTTTTATGTTACGGTGTGAATGAAAACATTGTAAATACCAGTGTTTTTTGACGTTGGTTAAAAAAACACTGTAAATTACATGGTTTTTGGCCACCTGACCCTCAAAAACCATGGTATTTGCAGTGGTTTCTGCTTCTCACCGCGCAAAAACACTGTAAATAACAGCAATTTCGCCGTTTTTTCATGTTTTTCGTTATTTTTTGAACTGCGTTGGTCCGCTATACATGGCTATCAAATTCTTCGCGTTTTTTTTTTCGACAATCAGTACTTTCGGATGTTTTTGGTCTCAATGGCCGACATCATTGGCAGTTACGAGCGGCTGCCCAACGATGCGGTGCGGGCGGTTGCCGTCGCGAAGCGACGTGAATACTATACCAATCAACCCGTCATCCACAAACGGGCCCCCTTTCTGTCCGTCGCTGAGTGACTGGACACTGTGTGAGTGTGACTAATCGAATCATCAGAGGAGCTCACATTCCTTAGAGCACCATGTCGCAAGGTCACTGATAATTCGCCATCGGACCGCCCGAAAAAGGTTCACTCCGCAATGTGCGAAATCAACATGGTTTCCGAATGGGCTCCAGTCTATCAAGATAGAAAACACAATGATATTTAAATCTTGGAGATATTAGCTATAACATCCATATTACATCACAAATCTATCAAATTAAAATCCTTACCTCCCAGCTTATGAATCATGGACTTCGGCCATATTTATCCAACATCTCATTCTTTTTTATCTTGTCCCCTAACCCCACCCCTCCAAAACACTCCGAATGTCGAATCCGCACCCGTTTTCTAATCATGTCCCCTAATCCCCCCTCTTCAAAATCTAGTTTACATATGGCCAAGATCCAAAATAGAACATGTTCCTCGACCTAGGGCACTAGGTCATCTAATTACTACCTATATATATTTCAAAATGTTATCCATGTAATAAACCTTTAACATGTGCGGATTTAATCCATTGTTGTTTTTTATTCCTACTAAATCTACAGGATTGAAATTCGGTAGTATAGACGATTATAGACGAGTATAATTACTCACAGTACTTTCCCCATCCCAGTGGGTCAATAATTTTGAGCCACATCTGATTATCAAAAGCACCTAAGGATTAGACAAATACGTGCTAGTGGCAAAGAAAGACAGAATGTCACTTGTTTATCACCGCGTGTCTATGGAACAGTACCCTTCTTATAGATGCTAATCGAGTTGACTGTTCATGGCAAATCGATCAGGGGATGACTCATAGGATTGAAACCAAGGAGCTGACACTGGGATTTCTTGCCCGCGAAAAACATTGGACCGGACTTGCTGCCGGCGCAAGGCGCAAACTTTACATGCTCTTTCGCGGCAACGTGATCCCCAGGAAAAAAAAAAGTGTCAAGCTGTGGAGGAGGTTTTGATATGATCGTGGTGCGACTCTTGTTTATCGATGTTTATTGTGTGTTTTTCAGAAGGAACATGTTGCCTCTGTTCATGTTGCAAGACAGGCAACATGTAGAACCGTCGCAATCAGAGCTCCAAACCGTCGGATTCTTGTTCCTGACCGTCCTACCACTGGTTGTTTGATCTCTGTCAAAGCAACCTGCGGATAAGTGCGAGTTCAGACAGGGCAGTCAGCTTTCGTACTTCTTGCATCTTCTTACATGGGTATGGGTCAAACCTGGTGAACATCACATTAGCTGGCAAATGGATGTGCATCCCTCCAAATATTGCATATTGTTTAATAATAGTTTTTGATGCATCCACACATATTATATACATCTTCTCCATCTCCTATGCTCTGCCGTTTGGTAAAGTTCAAACCATCCATGTTCGTTTGGTATGCTCAAGTCATATAAAGCGCACAGGGGCCTCGACCTGTGACGTTTGAAGGCCAACCTCAAGGCGCGTCCACTTCTGTGACGAGTTCACCGTTGAAATTGCCTACGCTGAAACGAATCCGACGCTATCAAGCTTTGTCCAAGCCCCTCTCCGCAAGAAGCTTCAAATTGAAGTTAAAATATCATCTAATCATCTATCCAAGAACCAGCTACGCTGCTACTTCGAAGGCATCAAAAGAAATACTACGGACACAAAGAGCTGCATGTTGGAAGACATACGACAGCACGTCAATCTGAGCCATGGAAAATGCCCCTATCGAATGCCATCATACTGGCTAATCCAATGGCATCTCCAATAAACTGGACAGTCCAACCTATATTGTCCTATATTAAGCCTGTTAAACCATCCACATGGCATTTTCAATGGCTCATCGGGGCCAAGATCTGCACAGGGGCCAAACACTCCTGATCCGCGTTCTTTCAGATCTTTCAGCTACTTATTTCTGATGTTTTCACCGAAACGTGCCATGTAGAGATCCGATATTTCATCTCGTCTGGAAAAAAATTGGGAAAACTTGGTGAAACCATCGAAATGCATCCACTAAAAATTACATCTTGCAGCGACCACAACACGGTTTTTTTCCCAGTCCATCGTTCTGGCTGACGGTACCTGAGATGGAATGAAACATTGCTAGCTGATTACATCACAGGCTGGCCGGGAAGCCCAGGGAAAAGAGTGGATTGCTGGATTAATAATGATTGTTTGGAACGGTGTATAAAGATGTATAAAGCTCACTATGGATATGAGATAAACCGGGGGTAGAATACGAAATGTCTATAGCCCTTTGAATCTTTGAGCAGAACAC